TCTCTCCTCTTTCCCATTACCAAAACCAAGTCCTGAATTTTTGTTCCCCTTTTCTCCTTCCCACCTTGGACGAAAGTTTAGCCTTAGGTCTCTCCAAATTTCCTTCCTTCACAAGGCTAAAAATTACAAGCCCTAATTATATTCTTCCTCCACTTCTACCAATAATTGAAATCTACCCAACTATTCCCTCTTCCATTTACATCTTTACATGGTCGAATTAACCCCAATACCTTCTCCATTCTTCCTTAGTTTCTCATGATCAAACCATTACTTAAATTAGCCTCGCTCCTCTCCAATTTAGCTTGGTCCCCCCCTCACCTCTCCTCCACTCTTTCTTCCATTCTTGCCTTGGCTGAAAGTTTACATGCATGATTCCTTGGGAAAGTGCTTCATTTCTTGCACAAACTTTGGTTGTCTTGCTTTAAATATGGTTTATGCATGAATTGGATTTATTACATTCATATATATGCCATTAGTTTTGGAAAACTGGTTATGTTTTGAATGCTTAAACTAGCTATCATGATTTTCTATACTTATGTGATATGCATATGGGTTAATATTTGTTTAACATATTCACCATGTTTCATATGCTTGTATATTTTGGTGTAGGTTTTTTTCGTATGCTTATGTGATTTGAAATGCTTGTGTAAGTTTCTTTCATGTGCTTACGTGATTAGAAATGCATTTATAGATCTCTCATGTACTTATATGCATAAAATGAATGTGTAGGTTTCTCCATGTGCTTATGTGATTAGAAACACGTGTAGGCTCCTCTAATATGCTTATGTGAAGAAAATACATGTGTAGGTTTCTCTTATGTGCTTATGCAGAAAATACATGCTTAGTTTAATATGGAACTTGATCCTTTCCAACAATCATCAATTCTAACCTTCAGGGTAAACCTTCCTCGGTATGTTGGCTAATTCCATTTCACGGGCCTTTCCATCTCACATAATTATTAGAATGTAAGTCTCAACTTTTGAACTCGATTCTCGCTTTTGAAAATTCTAACTTTGAAATATCCATCCTTGAAATCCTGAATAATATAAATAAACACTTTAATCATGAGTTTTCTCTAGAGTTTACAGCTCCAGAGATGTAATTATGAGGGCTTTCCCTTGTAGGAATACCAGTCTATAATAAAATAAACCATATATTACACCCGTAAGGTAGGAAAATCTTTAGTTCACATAGACCCGCAAATCTTAAGGATTTTCATCATGCAAATAAATATATTAATTTCAAGGTAATATTTCTTCCCCTTAGGATAGTATATTATCCTTCAAATGACGTATTGGAAAATTTAAATAGAAATCTTGCAAGATACATGGTGATCATACTCGATAAGAAAACACCAACAATATTATGTTGTTCACTGCAACTGCAACTCCTTATTATGACCTTGGTAGTCAAATAACACTACTACAACTCCCATTACAACCTATGTGACTAACTACAACCTACGTGGCTCACAGCTCATGTAACTTCCAACTTCATCCTTTGTGCCCTACAAACATTGTTACAGCCCACCACAACGACCTACATGACCAACTATGGTCTATATGGTCCACAGCTCATGCAGCTCCCAACTTTGACATTTGTGGCCTACAGAAATTATCGCAGCTCACCGCTATGACCTATATGAACAACTATAACCTATGTGGCTCACAGCTCACGCAACTCACAACTCCAGCCTCTATGGCTTATGAATGTTATTGTGGCTCGCCACTACAATCCATGTGACTAATTTCAGTCTATGTAATCAAAAGCTCATGCAACTTCCAACTTTGGCCTTTATGGCCTACATATATTATTGCGACTAACCACGCATGAAACAGTGATTTTTGGCATAGTCAGGCCTAATACGAGCGTGACCACACTTGATCTAGGTGTGAACACGCCACTTCCAAGTGTGACCGTGCCAGTTTCAAGCGTGGTAACGTCGTCAGACCGTCAAAGTCTATTTTGGAAGGTTTTTTCATGTTGATTTTTGCTGGATTTTTTAAAGAGGAAGCTAAGACACGAACAAAATCTGTCTTTCGGAGAGGAGAGATCTAGAGACGGCTGGAGAGCAAAAATAGAGAATTTTGAAGAGTTTTTCTTTAGGATTATCTTCCTTTCTTGGGGTTAAGGTGCTAAGGGTGTTTCTTACCTTTTACTTTATATTTTTCTTACATATTCTGAGAGGTTTATTGTATGAGAAAGGAATTGACTACTGTGAAAGAGAAAATGAATTGTTTTGTGAGTTTTTTTACTTTTTAGTTTTACTTGCAATGATGAATTCAATTGAATGTTTTTCACGCATTTTTCCAAACATGCATAGCAAAAATTTCTTTTGTACCTTTGTCATTCATTGTATATGGTTTTTTCATTTTCTCGGATGATTTCT